TTTACAATTTTATGAATTTTTATGACACTTTTTCTAATACATTTTTTATCTGTATCATTGCATTGTGCATTCAAACTTCCTGTGATTTAAACATATGTGTTGTATAACATGTATCAAATAGCTAATTACTCTATTACAAATATTAGTCATTTAATAATAATTACCTTCATTTTCTTTTCCTTCAACTTCTTGATTTCCTTCCAAACTTCTAACTTGTCACTAAGATCCACATTATCTAGCGGAAGTAAAACATCGCCTATATAATCGTCTCGGGAAAACTGATCAAAATCGTACAATTGTATTTTAACAGTCTGCCTATGTATATCAAATTCTGGAATCTCAAATACAAAACTCTCTTTGAACTGCGGGTTCAAAGTCTTCCTAAGCACTTTACTTTGCATCGTTTTTGGACAGTTGGGCAGAATGGTAACTTTACAGTACGGATCAGCCGTTCCGCTAAAATCTTGCGGCTGCAAATTCCTTGCTTCGATCAAGCGCAGAGTTAATAAATTCATATCAGGCGAATATTTTAATTCAAAATTCAGAATTCCAAGACTAGGTCCTTCCACTAATGACTTTTTCCTGGGCTAAGATAAAGAGAAATATTAAAATGTTTGATGAATTGTATTCATATCAACAACATACTGAGACAAAAAATTAAAACTTACACATTTGTAATCTCGATTGTCTTACATGAATACTCCAATCCCCACCCCCATCTTCCCCTACAAATACTTAAGCAAAAGATGAAGAGAGCTGTAGTTTGATGGTTAATATTCTTTCCTTCCAATCTTTCGAATCCAAAGTTCAACTCATGACATGTCTTCACCTAAACACCATACCTAGACATAGTATGAGCATCCGCTTAGCTGGGAAATTTAGCTTAAATGCAAAATAAAATGGCCTTCCCATTGCTAATATAATATCCGTTGACGCCCTGTCAGTACAAACTATTTCTATTTTAAACAATATAATTAATTTCTGTAGATCTCTATATATTACCATACTATTCTTGTATTCGTCTAAATGTGTAGGTTGTCCCTAATAGATAGGCCTAGAAGGTATTTGTAGATAAAGAATGTTTCTTCTTTTAGGTTGAAAATAACAATGCACTTACAATATTACTTCAATGGTTTAATTAGATATGCAAAATAAATATTAGTGACTTACAAATTTCAGTTATGACAAACATGAACTGCGACGCAGTAATCTCAATTTGAATAACATTTAATTATTGCATAAATTTTGTATACCTTTCACAATTTCACAATTTAAGTAATAGTCTTATAGGTTGTATCTCAAAGGGTATGCATGCTTGTTAAAAATGTTACATCAGGAATACATATGAACAGGCCTACATGATTTGTTTATGTGACTTTCGACAGACTTGCGCAGTTAAAACTAAATGGATTATTCAGAGTAGAACGCATCATACATACCCGTGTCTCAGTATGTAAACATAATTTGAACACTCTTGAAGCAGGTACATATGCAACATAGTAAACGGAAGATACGATAGATATGATAAAAGCTTTTGAGATGTGGGCAAAGAGTGGACTCTGATTAAGATTAATCTGGGCAGTAAGAATTACTAACGATAATTCCAGTATCTCAGCAGTTAAGCAGACCATAAACACAAGTGCCAGTATTGAGAACAAACGCATTTAAGACAAAACGTCAGTCGTACTGAAGTTCATATGCAACATGCGAAAGGGAGATACATAATCAAAAGCTGTAGTGATGTGGGCATGGGAGGGATTGATAGAGATTAAGCTGAACATTAAGAATTACCAATGATAAGAGTGTTCTAAATCATAAATGAGGAGGGAAGCTCGATTGGACTAAAAAAAAAGAGTTGGATATGTATTAAACTAGATTGTCATTCAATGTTTATTTAAGAATACTGGAAAAATAGAGGGAGAAAAACACTGAATGCTGGATGGAGAGAAAAAGCTACGCCAACATAAACATTTTCGTACGAACAATGAGTGAAAAGGATCACAGTATTAATGTAAAAGAAAATGCCACAGGCAGACTACTGTTGATCATGTTCAGAACATTTACTATATTTTAATGCTAAAATGATATACAGACCGATTAAGTGATAACTTACAGGTTCTGGTGGTGGCTTGTACATGTCGCTGGAAGGATCAAATGTTGTGGGGTCTAGCTTTGACGTCATGGAATGTTGCCGATCCATTATTCTTGGATTACTTATTGGTGGTTGTTGACATGCGACTACTTCTCTATGAGCAGGTGGCGCTAAAAACATTAATAATAATAATAACATTAATAAATATAGTATGCACAATAATAATATTGTTAATAATAATTATAATAAAATTATAACACTTGTAAAATGATATTAACAAATAACAATAATAATAATAATAATGATAATAATAATGATGATAATGATAATAATAATAATAATGATAGTAATGATAATAATAAGAATAATTATAATAATAATAAATAATAATAATAATAATAATAATAATAATAATAATAACAATAATAACAATAATAATAATAAAAGAATAATATAAACACGAGTTATCGAAATAAAAATCAGGTCACCGATGGAAGTTAAGTACATTATTAATTTCCAAGGGCATGTAACAATGATCTTATTTTATAATGTACGGTATTTTAACGTGCTGACGCCCTCACCGTTAGTCACATTGTTTGGCGAACTAACATAGGCCTCGTATAGCTATACAGTATGATATATAAATTAATAATAATATAAACAAATCAATCATTATTATAATTACGCATGTATTATGCGTTATACAGTCCCTAGCCAGTAAAGCATTAATTTAAAGCATGGCTCGGTTGATCGTATTTAAACCTCAATTAAACTTGGACTATAAAGAGCGTCGATGGTCCCACAAGACCATCTCAACAACTACTACATAAATCGTTAAATAAAACGCATAAACATATAACACTGGCGCTTTCAAACGGCATTGAGCTTAAGAATAGTCCTATATAACAGTAATATAGAGGTATCACAAATGCAGATTATGCGCCGTGTTTATATCCAAAAATAAGGCTGATTCTTATTCATGAAAACTTAAAATTGAAATATTTTTCAAGATTAATTATGCATAAATTATTCCTAATACTTTTCTATTTATTTCAAACTGCAAGTTTGCAAAAGAGTATCATTGTGGATAACATTTATTACGACAGTTATTTTTACGATCATGTGCAGGAGACCTGTGGTTGAGAGAGTTTTGTGTAATTTTACCCTGGCAAAATATTCTGGTCTGAAAAAATATAGTGCATGATAATGATAGAGATTATAGGTTGTAGTTAGCTACAAAAGAAAAGTGTTTTAAACGGAAGTAAAACATGTTTGGCAGAGAAATACAGAACCCATATCGATTACTTGATGATAGAAAATTTCCATTGAAAAAACTTGACATCTATTTTAAACACTATACTGTGTTGTGTTATTTTCAATGTAATTAAATTGATTATATGAAGAATGTAAACCAGAATTTTCTTAAATTGATGTTTAAAAAATATATTGTCTTAGATAGCCATATCTGTATCAAAATTTTAAGATTAATCACATATTTCAGTTGATTATTTGAGGGATGAAAACAATTCGTAAATATATTTAACTATAAAACTTAATAACTATTGACTTAAAGAATTATAACTTTGGAAATATAGGCCTATTACTCATTTTTTTTTCTGTATATTGTACGCACTACAGATGGGGCACTTTAAAACTCACTAGATCTATCATATATTTTATTTCAAATTGTTTCTACATTTCATCGCATTTGAAAACAAAAATAAAGGCGAAGTCAAAATTTGAGCTCTTGGCTCACAGGCTGGAGTGCCCACCTGCCTTTCCTTGGCGTGTTTTGGCCAAATTGCAATAATGCTGAACATCTCGACGAGATTTGATTGACAGATAAACCGACTAATCAGCGAGCGTCATTTAAACTTTTTCTCGGACATTGTAAATTTCCTTAGACAGCTGGTTTAAACGCGAAACATACGTGCGCCTAGGCCTAGATGTCTATGCTTGGTCATAGATACCAAAGATAATAAATAGCAGGAGATAGAGCACCTTCCCAAATATAGTGGAACATCCGTTCAAAAGGCATTGTGGGTACATGGAGAGCAATTTTACCTCATCCGCACGGCGGCGCTATATAGTAATAATAAAGGCGCTGCTCTTGTTCGTTTGTTTCCTTTAGTTTCTCCACTTAGTAAAATGTTCAAATTTTACCTCATCCGCAGGAGGGCGAATGTTCCAATACGCGGAGCAGCTCATTCTTCTGCTATTTAAGTTCTTTGATAGATACCCAGATTTACACGAGCAGTGCGCATCAGTGACTTGGCCTTTGCCGACAACAAGGTTGACTAAATACGGCTTTTCCCTCTTCTTTTGGGAGCGAAATACGGAGGCTTTTACAACAATTTCCCCGCCATGTTCCATGAGATAGATTAACACTATGAATATATGATTCATTTGCATACCGCCTACCCTGAATTCTCTTTCTTAAAGAAGGTTAATAGCAAAGAAAATCTTCGCTAACTCGGTAAGTCTAGCTGCCATTGTCTAGGTTTTCGTAACTTTATGGGCGGGGCTTCGCGTCCTTGTCGACACACATTCTTCCCACCTACACAACGAGCCTGTTTACCTTTTCAGTATATGCCGGTACAATGGGTAGAGAGAAAAAACGTACATTGTGTCTTGCCCATGGACATATGACAATTTTGATAACTGGCTATATTAACAAATGAAAATTTTTTTTAAAAAACGAAGGTATACTGTCAAAATTGTTTTTGATCCTCAGTATATCTGTCCGTGGCGATTCCAATGAGTGCTATACATTAAATTAAATAAAGTTAATTTCAAATAATGTTCAAACAACATAACGAATGATGATGAATACATCACATTATTATATATTATTTACCATTAGTATTAATTACATCGTTCTCAAACATCGAGAGTGTACGGTACGTAAAGAGAGATTATAATGTTCATTATGTGCAGTACGGTTGATCAAAGATCTACAATATTAAGGTTCCAAGCTGGGCCGCGGGCAATATTTTTCAAAGTTAATAACTGCAGGTAGTTTATTTCAAACATTACTATCTCTTTATAACTCGGCGCCACATACAATAAGTGTAAAATCATTACTTTTAAGATCGTATGTCAATTCGAAATGGATAATTTGGATTATTTTTTTTAGTTCGTGCTTATACTCTTCAATATGAAATAGTTATGTATTACTGTATATCATCATAATTTTTATTATTAGCATCATCATTACGTTTTCCACATGTATGTAAAAGTCGCCTACTACAAACATTTAGTTTGACATTGGAGAGAAGGAGTGAATAAAACTTATTCAAAAGTGCCACTAAATGGACTTAAGACGTACATTTCGGACAAACGTATGGTTTCAGCAATAACTGTAATGTACCGTATGTTAGCTTTCCTCGCGTCAACCTACAACGTAAAATTTACAACAATTTATGATTTACTTTTCAAATTTCCATTTGAAATCGTACGTTATTGACGGTAAATCCTGATAAATTGTCTGATTTCGAATATCCATCAACACGTTTATGCATATCCCAATCTGTAATCGTCCCTTTAATTTTTTCTGCATGTATATACAATTAATATTGGTCCCAGAGTACTGACTATTATGCCAACAATTTCGTGGCTAATCCACTTTAAATATATTATATTTAAATACAGTATTCAAAAGCACTATCATATATTAGACAAAATACGGTGATGTGACGTAGGGCTACGTATTGTGTACCATACAGCAAGCTAATAGTCGTATTTCTATTGTAGTAGACTTAACGAGTTGCTCAGGGGCACACGGTCAACAGTCACGGTGTTCGCATGTTCATATTTTCTGCTAATTAATAAACATATATTTCATTGCTTCTTAGATGCTTTTCTTATTCGTTAATCAAGTAATATCAATTTAACCCAAAGGTTATAACTTTGACGATACCATGACGTCATAATCTCTTGATTAATTGATGAGACATTAATTTTCGGGTGACTCACTCTCTTGCACTAGCTTCCGTCATGTTCTCAATATATTTAAAAGGAATAGCAAGAGCGTTTATGTAAATTAGTCCATGCACAGTATCGCAACAAATTGCTCGATAATAACACTGGATGTTTTATTTAAACAAGTAGGCTATAATGTGGAGCTGAATATTAGTTAGTTTACTATATTCGAATTCGCGGAAGAAACATTTTTAGATAGTTCCAGGAAGCTGATCCATTAAGGGCTGTCTATGAATGTAATATAATATCATATTATATTATACAGTGATGCTTGTTGACGATGACAACGGCGATGACGTTGGCGACGGCGATTGCGATGGGGATGTAGATAAAAATGGCGACAGCGACGCCGTTAGAGACACTCACCTCGACCATGCCTCAAGAAATGTTCAGATAATGAACAAAACACCTAATAGAATTATTATTAGATTCAACGAAAATGTGTAGTCAACGTGTGTTTCGTTATGCTCTATTTGTCATTCACCTGGTCGTCAACACTAGTTTGACCGAGATAGTTGGTAAAGCGGTATTAAGTTAATGCTAGCGGTAATGGCAATTAAAAAATGTAAAGAGACAATGTCGTGTTTATTACCCTATATTTCGGATACAGAGGATTTTCTATTTTCATAAACATACTATACTATAATGTGGCCTAAACTAAATACAGGCCACATGTTGCTCCCTTTATAGAAGGTTGGTAAAGCAGTATTAAAGTAATATTAATAGAAGCAATTGCATTTATGAAATGAAAAAGTCAACTTCTTCATTCATTAGCCTACATTATTTCAAATACATGTTTGCTACTAATACTAATATTTAATTCTACTAATATTACTACTGCTACTAAGTTATACTGCTACTATTACTGCTACTACTGCTAGCTTCTCTACTACAAACAACTACTAATAGTTACTAACTACTGCTACTAGTACAACTATCTACTATTACTATTGATACTACTGTAGGCCTAATACACTGAAGTCTTTTGCTGCTACTACTGCTACTACTAACTTAATCATTTTATTTATAATAATAATAATAATAACTTATTATAAATATTATTGTTATTGATATTAGGTATATATATGTATATATATGTATATATATATATATATTTATTATTTAGTTATTAAATTTTATACTTATTTTTTATTAGTAGTAGCTTTAGTATTATTAGTAGGCCTGTGTATTAGAATTATAGTTAATCTATTAATTTATTTAATGTAGTGTCATTTATACTTACTTCCTGGTATAACGAATGTATCTGGAAGTCCTCTGTTTATATCTGATAAACTAAGATCATTCTTTTTCTTTTTCTTTGGTGTAACGTATATAAGGCTGGATGTGATCGATTCTTTCTTTTTCTGCTGAGGCTCTTTACCGAATCGGTACCGTTTCAAACACTTCCCATTATCACAACATAAGCACAGAAACAGCAGTGTTATTAATATGGTGACGAATGGAACTGCACAGAGAAGTATTAACTGCAATCCCGTAATCCTATACATCCTAAATAGTATAGAAAAAGAATCAGAATGGTTATTTAATAAAATGAGAAATTAAAGCACATTTTTATCCAACTTGTTTTATTTATTATTTTATTATATTAATTATTTAGGCACAGAACACATACACCAAAATTTGTCAATAGCGAACTTGTCCTAACTTGTAGGTGACAATCCCTTTCACAAGACAATAGTGCTTTACAGACACAAAATCTCATATGAGGATTAGGTTGTTTCGGTCGTGAGAAAAAATCATGCATCATTGACAGGAAATAAACCCACAGTCATCATGTTTTATCTAACTAAGCAGATTTAACATCGGATCCGAATTTCTGTTAACAATAATAAAGCCAGATATTCATCAAACATCTAGAAATCAGTGTAAACGTCAAACTGATTCGCCACAGTTATATAAGTATAGGCCTATTTGAGACTGGTATTAATTATAACAGCCTCGGAGAATCAAATAAGTCATCGACTGTTGACGGCACGCAATTTTAATATATCTCCGCATCGGTTGTGTTCAGATTTATACACAGTTAAATCAAAGAGAAATCGAGCGTGTTAGGGAGATAAATTCGAATAAAAACGTACGTTGCAATAGCTATTACAAAATCAGTCGAGCTTAGTACAATTCATAACAATGATTTTTGAAGCAGCTAACATGAAAATCAATAGTGTATGTGTATATAATAATTCCCAGTATTTATTCACATATTTGCATTCGTACAATTGAGATACCCATGATCCAACTAATCTAATACCTACAAACCCTTATGGTTTATGGAGACGTTGTAACTGTTTCAACTCCTTATCGTATATGCAACGCTGATAATGTAATTATAATTATTTACAACTAATAATAAGTATTAATAATTCATATTTAGTTAGTATAACCTGCGGAAAAACTCATATATTACGTTATGACATTATGCCTGCAATAAATGTATATTCCAATTAACTTTAGCTGTGTGCGAAGGAGCTCTTAAATAATGAATCAATAAAAAGAAAAAGGGTAAAAATGTCCATAAATCATTATCATGTTGCCTTTAAAGACTAATTTTAGTATTTGTTTGAAAAAAGATAGACACAATATTATCATTATTAATGTTATGGTCTTTATTATTATCACCATCATTAGACATACCAATCACCTTACTAGGACTACAATAATTAATATTATCTTCATCACCACACTATCACAATCATTATCACCATTACCATCCTGGTTATTACCATCACCGTAACCATCCGCAAGCACGCTCATGATCATCTTCATTATCATCCTTATTATCATCACCACCACCACCATTATCATTATCCTCAACATCATTTTCAGTATTAACAAGTAAACGTTAGGTAAAGGTAATAGTTAATCCATAAGTCGCAGCATTGTGCTGAATTGGGCGTGGTCCGTGACTATCTAGCCACTGTAAAGAGGCGTTTACTATTAGCTTTTTCATATCATTCCACAACGACAGAGGCTGAAATAAACCATAACATCGGGGTAACCCCATACCCTTCCGAGAGATACACTGGGTTCTTTAAAATGCGCGCGAGCCAGACGTGACAGTACCTACCGAACCCTGGCTAGCAGCGGCTCGAACCAGCGCCGATGTTCAGGCTGTACCAAAGAGTATAAATAGAGATAGAGTTCTATCTATACCCTTTGGCTGTATTTATAGCGGCGCCCCTTCCTTACCGATCGGCCACTCGACTCTCTAGTGTTACCGTCATCATATATCTCGGCTACACCAGCAATAACAGTCTGTCTCGTAGAGTCGGATATTGAATCGAGCCTTTAATTTTCGCTACCCTAAAGTTTCGCCTTTTCGCGATTTAACATTTTCTTAAATGAACTTAAAGTTCGAAAGCTATAGAGTAAATGTTTTAAACTGTATACCGCCGACCAGGCTGAGTACAGTAGTTAGGCATAGATATAGGCTTAGTACTGGTAGTGTTCTAAGTTGCCGCCATCCCCTCCCCCTGTAGGGGAGAGCTGTTTCCAGGCTGAGTACAGTAGTTAGGCATAGATATAGGCTTAGTACTGGTAGTGTTCTAAGTTGCCGCCATCCCCTCCCCCTGTAGGGGAGAGCTGTTTCCACCCCTCCCCCCGTCGGGAGGAAAACCACAATTCGTCGGGGAGGAAAAATAATTATATGTATTTTGTACATATTATTAGACTGTAAAATCGATTAAATAAGCCTTTGAAACCCCTAAATTGTCGAGGGCTTCGAACCCTGCTGGACCACTTTCGAAATATTTTAAGCGACGCTTGACCACACCAACTTTGCTCTCGTCGGGGAAATCTTCAAACTCGTCGGGGAAATCCTGGCGACACCCCTGCTGGCCACAGGAAAATCGCTAAAATTACAGGCGCGTGAAATAATAGGGCTTTTACAGTACTCCTCACGTCGGCGGTCGTCATTTTATCATCGTGATCCTGGAGGCCTGATGTGATAGCATCAAAATTACAATTCATAACCTTACTGTATCATTTGAAACTACGTTTCTAACCGCTGCATCCCATTCACAGTTATCGTCATTAGTTTCTATGAGGACGTCCTGGGATATTCAATCAAGCAATTATCTACAAAGCGGCAACAACAATTTCTTGGATTTCTATAGGCTTACACACACACCAGTTCATCATAACAATTTACGTCAAGTAACCAACCTGTCAAGTTACCAACCCGCTCAAGAGAAAATTGAACGAAAACATAAAATGGTCTAGCTACCAAGGTTTGTGTATGACTGGATGAAATGTACTGTTATACAATCCCTTCCCATATGACTCATACGCTTTGAACAAATTTCATTCACCCCTTTCACCGTCATCTATCTCATCAATTTCTAATTATAACTTATTTACGTTATTTTCTCATACCTGCACTGTTGATAACTACGTTTCCATAGTAGCTACGTCCAATCCACTCGATTCAATGAGTCTGCAAAAAATAGAGAAAAATACTAGCCGTCATAACACGTTAGTTTTTTTTTTTTTATTATCCTCCATGTTTTCGCTTGGTTTTTGGGATTTTTTTTTGCGAGACGTTCAGCTTAATCAGGCGTTTAGCTTAAAGATGTAGGCCTACTTCATTTTTGAATTTAAGTAAGTAGTAATTTTAATTAAAAATGAAAAAAAAAATGTCCCTATCAATAATTCCTTTCCTGTGTGTGTGTTTTTTTTTTCACTTAGACATTTCGGTTGACTGGTAATCAGTTTAACAATGTTTGTAGTGAAATGTCTGTAAATAATTTAAAAAGAAAAACTTTTTGGTCATTTCTGTTTAAAGTAATAGCCTTTTTTTTTTCAAAATGATGTGTTTAAACTTACAATTGAATTTCTGAGGTTTTTCAGATTTTTGGCAGGTAATGTACGTATTTAATGAGGAATTATATGCATGATGAACTTGTTTGAGCATATATTTTTTTTTAATGCGGAACCCGCAGATATGCTCGCCCCTCCCCCCACGGTAGCAAATTTGTCGATCCCCCAATGGCGAGGTTCTTGGGCCTCCTTAGGCCTACGTTCTAATGGCATGGCACGTGCACATGTGGTCTAGAAGTAATCGAAATATACGGATTTTAGATATTAGGCCTAGGCCTATGTGTAATTTATATGCTTATAGGCCTGAATATCGTGCATTTTTATTATCACTCTTTTCATCTTATTCTCTCACCCTTTGGCTCGGAATTCGACTGTACTGCCCTGTATTACTAAAGTATTCTGGTTGAGGTACTCTATCGAGTGCCCATCTTATTGTTTGTTATTTTTGTTAGAGTATACTTGCAAATGTGTCTGAGGAAAACAAAATTATATTTATCAGACAATACACAAATAGGCCAGAAATGTTTTAAAAATTTCTGTTATGAGCGAATAGGTACGGTAGGCGCTGGAGTATATGTTTATCACTTATAGTTAAATACACGCCCCTGTTATTTTTGCCTACTTGTTGTATCTTATGGATAATGGCAACGATTTCTACCTCTGCAAAAGGAGGTTATGTATTCAGAGTTGTGTAACGCTGGCATATGTTTTTTTAGATCCAGCCGTACGCGCCGCCCCATTGTATGTATTCCCACCATGCATTTCGAAATGCATGATGGGAATACAAACAATGGGGCGGCGCGTTCGGCTGGATCTAAAAAAACTTTTTTCTGTGGAGACTATCTTGTGTTTCTAGTAGGCCTATCTTTGTTTTAACGCAAACGCACTGCAACTAATTATCAGTAATAGTTAGGCCTAAGAAAGTGCCATACATTATTCTACAGCGGCATTTTACATTCATATAAACAATAACCCTCTTGACCACTGCTAGCAAATTAGAAACGTTTCCGTTTTAGTATCTACATATGAAAAAAAAAATAGTAGCAAACGTGCTAAATGGGTTTTAAGAATTATAAACAATTCAATATCTAACTACAAATATACAAATTGGCCGTTCTATATCATTGACCTGTACCGTAAGGTTTATCAGAAGATTAGACCTACAGTCATCCATGTATTACTTATCTGATATTTCGTAAAATCTATTCGGGTACAGAAAGAATAAATCAACAGTTGATGTATGTCGTTACTGTACTGATTCACCCGTAGGGCCCCTCTTCGACAAGACATTAAGCGTTGCGTCATAGTGCTAATTGACTATCTGTCTAGAATTTACTCCGATTGGGTACATAGTAATAGTATAGTTTTACACTATATTTATATGAAAATTACAAATTTAGCAACAAATTACATTCTGGCACTGTTTGTTTTTTTTTACACATCT